ACCTACCTACCCAACCACCCCCCTACCCAACCACCCACCTACCCAACCACCCACCTACCTACCCAACCACCCACCCACCACCCACCATACCGTGTTTAGGCATTCCCAATTGCAACGTTTGAGCAGCTTTCAGCGTTTCGTTAAGTGTTAGCAATTTTTATTAAAACGGAGAAAATAAAAACTAAACGCTTTTCTATGTGAAAAATTTACGTATCGCAAGAAAGAGCAACTCGAAGTATCGAATTTTTGGAAACATTTTAGCAACTTCTTGGCATTTAAATAAGCGGCTGCATTTTAAGGTTTAGGAGCACAATCAGGAAATGCCTCATTACCAGAAATTTGAGACACAATGGCGGCGAGAGTGCGCATAGTAACTCACAATAGAAACTTGCTATAGACAGTGTAGAGATATTAAAAAAATCAATATTTTAGTCAATTATCGCTTAATTTTCTCCCGATCGCAGCTCGATACTATGTGCATCACATTACCTAAGTTACATGGTCAACCTTTTGAGCAGTCGATGATTGCAGTGGTGAGCTAAACATAGCAACTGGTCACGGTATGCATATTTATAAATTATTGAATTATTCAAACCAATAGAAATCCATTGTCTTTAAACTAACTTGGTTCAGGTTTATTAGCATAGCACTACCAGTTGCCATAAAGTTAAAATAAATTTTATGAAATTCAATTATTATGTAATTAACGCGGATTTTGAACGACGAGAACAAATTAGTTCTGGTGACGTGGTCGTCTTTATAACGTCTGGCCGTTTTTCTATTTACGCACGCGCTGTCCACAATAATTTTTGCCAGAACTTTAGTTTACCAACCTTCACTCCATCAGTCACAGATCCAGTAGCGATAGGCTTCACACACATGCCATATTTGGTATGCACCAGTGTTCCATTTGGCCATAGTTGGAACTCTTGTATACCTTTCCGACATCCTTGGTATATCACAAGGAATTGTCCATCTTTTGGTCTATTTGAAGCGGCCTGGGGAACATGAATACATTTAGATCCACGATGCTGTAATGAACCAGGACCTTGGTTCGTGTTTCCTATAAGGGCTAAAATAAAAAAATTGAAACTTGAGGACTTCAAAGTCGTGATGTTACCTCAAAATATCAATGCATTTCTTTAGTTAAATTTGTCTATAGTGATGAGTAATTTTATAGTCGTGGCAATGATGGTCGTCTGTTGGTGGTAATGATCATGATAATGATTGTGTCATATACCTGAAATTGTAACTATACATTTGTCAGTGGTATGAATGTGTTTCAGTTCATTACACGATAGGTCTCACTTTACGTGAAACAGTTCGATACCACAAAGATCGAGAAAATACAATGGGGCATAGGTTGGTTCGCTTCAAAATATTTACCACCAAAGTTAGTGTCAGATATTTTATAATTAATCCTAGTAAAACATAAAGTGATTATTCTACTTGTAATTTAATAGTTAAATTGAGATCAATGAACAATACATAATGTACAACATGAGCTCCACCTTTGAATTTACTATATGAGTAAATTGTTAAACACGTCCGAATTTATCAATATGATAAATTCGCGGCACATTTTGAAATTATCAATAAAAGAAATCATAACACCACAAGTATTAGACAAGACATTTTGTTATAAATGTAATGGCACTAAAAGGGAGGCTGGCCGCGCAGGGGTAGGGAGATAGGAGACAGTTCAAAAAAGAAAAAAAAAAGTTAAAAAGAGAAAATAAAAAGGGTTAAAGTTAAAAAGAGAAAATAAAAAGTTAGATTTAAAAAAAAAGGTTTAAAAAGTTTGGGGTTAGGGTTTAGTGTTAGGGGTTAGGTGCCGCGAATTTATCATATTGACGTTTTTAACAATTTGCTCATATAGTAAGTTCAAAGGTGAAGCTCATGCTGATAATGTAAGGCGGCAACTTCCGAATGACGCCAACATGATCCGACGGTAAGCTAATAATATAGTTGATCAACAAATGTTTTGTAATTCGATTGTAACTCGATTGTATTAAATTAATGTGATACAGTATAACAAATACTATAAATGAAAGATACAGTCCTCAGATTGTGATGAACCAGATAGCGCGACTTTTTCGTGTGTGAGTGCGCGGAGGAGAAAGTTGCAAAACGTGGTCCTTCGGAGCCGAATTTATTGTGATTGAGTAAACTAGGTTGAATCGTAATTGCGCAAAATGCCTATCAGTGAAATAACAAAGACAAAGATTACGGTCCGGTCAAAGACGTTCGGCTACATTGTTAGCTACGAAAAAAAAGGGAAAATTGTCCGACGAATCTTTAGAAAATTATAATTTCTTAAAGCAATGTAAACTGTCGCTGAACAAAAAATCGAGTGTTTACGAAAGCTGGACGAAAGTGTGAGCAAGCTGATAAATACGAGTGATTCTAAAACCGCAGACGCAGAATTACAGAAGGAAACTCGAATAATCCGATGAGGGTAGAGCTGAGTTACAGAAAATTGTTTTTGATATTGACGATCGACTGAATTTAATGCTACGATCATCGCAAGTGGGTGCCCGGAAATAATGAGCAGACCGAAGCAAAGCATGTCGTGCATATCAAATTGCCAAAGCTACAAGCCAAAACGTTTGACTTAGAGTGATAACTTGACATAACTTCTGGAGGCGATGACCAAGGAAATTGAGCTGAGAGAAGCCCACAATGCTGTGATAACTACGTCAGAAGGCCAGAAACGGAAAGCCGAGGGAGGAAAGCCGTATACGAGGAAAAGACTGTATGGTCAATAGTTCCGCTGCTGCATTACTGGCTCGACAACAACAAGATTCTGTTCCGAAATATCACTTACTCGAACCGTCCTGACCGCGTAGCTCAGTTGGAAGAGCATTGGGCTAGTATTCCAAAGGTCGTAGGTTCGAATCCCATCGTGGCCGGGCATATTTTTCAAGCTCGCCTGGTGTGGATATACACTCAGAGTAACACCACAAATATCATATTCACCTGAGTACACTACACCAACACAGAAAAAATTTAAGATTCTGCGAAGTTTATATGTGCCTACTGCTTACAAGAACATGATCCTAACAAATGCACTAAGGTCAAAGGTATTATAGAACGTAAACAACTTATTCGTAAATACGGGAGATGTTTCATTTGTTTAAAAAAGGACATATAAGTAAAAACTGTTTAAATAAAAGTAATTGTAGTGCATGTGGTGAAAGACATCATAATTCTATCTGTGAAAGTAGTGTAAAGGACACTCGTGCTAGTCCAAATCTCCATGTAGGTGCTGGAGGTAGTGTTGCTTTGCAGAAAGCACAGGCAGTAGGGTATTATTTGACTCTGCAAGTAGCCACAGATCATTTGTCACTGTCAAGGCAGCTCAGGCAGCTAGGAAGCCTGTCAAGAGACGAGAGTGGATAAAGATTTGTACGTTTGGGCAGGAGAAGGCAGAAGGGAAATTACGCAATGTTTTTGAATTGGAGGGCACCCTGTCAAAGGGGGGGGGGGGAGTGTTAAGATAGAAGCTTATGGAATAGGGAATATATCCCAGGTACAGTACCGAATGAGCACATTGAGTCTAAGAAGCATGATTACACACATTTGAAGCAGCTATGGTTTTTGGATGTTTCCAAAGATGAAGATGTTTTGTTGGTTGAAGTTTTGATTAGCTCATATTATATTTGGAGATTTCAGGAAGACAATATTATGAGAAGACAACCTAGTGAACCTGTAGCAGTGTACACTAGCTACTGTAGATTGGGTTTTGTCAGGGTCCAAAGGGCAAGAAAGGCTAGATGGGGAAGCAAGTGTTAATTTTGTTGGTTGTCATCCTAATGAGTATACATTAGATAGGAATATAGAGAGATTATGGGATCTTGAGACATTGGGTATTAGACAGGAGAATGATGTGCATGAGTCGTTGAAGGATGCAGTTGAGTTTAATGGTGTTCGATATTCAGTGGGGTTGCGGTGGAAAAAGGCTCACAAACCCTTGCCAAGTAATTATGATAATAGCTTGAAAAGGTTAAATGGTCAGTTGAGGAGTTTGCGGTAACAGCCTGAGATACTTAAGGAGTACGACAAAGTAATTAATCAGTAGTTGCATCAGGGAATAATAGAACCTGTTGTAGAATTGAAAAGGCCTGGCCAGCGTGTACATTATTTGATCATGCAGTGGTAAGGAAGAATGCAAAAACAATCAAGGTTAGGGTTGTCTATGATGCATCTAGCAAGGAATGCAAAAGGACTGTTTCACTAGAATGTATTCGTTTTACGAGTCAAGCTCGAGCCCGAGTCAAGCTCGAGTCACGAGTCCAATTCGAGTCAAGGTAAAAATTTCTAACTGTATACAATCGTCTACACACTTCCCAGAAAAAGCTTTCTCACACCCTCGACACACCTCCGAAATCAACTGTTATACTTCCTGTTTACCTCATAAATGAAGGTTACCAGCCTGTGTGCGGGTTATATATATGAAATTGAAACAATGGCCTCTGGCAAAGGTATAGTAAAAGCATGGTTTTCTTTGTTTGCAATCTGTTTCAATCGTATTATAAACCGTTACGAAATCGGGCAGTTTTTCATCTACTTGTCTTTTAACTCGTCATTTTTTATTGTTTCTTTCAAAAAAAGACGATTTAATTGCTATTAAGGTATTAAATTTATTGTTAATTAAGCTGTCTCTTAAGGCCATGCACTTAGACAGATTTAATATGGGCCATTCCACGTAATATCTACACATCCCCTATTGCCGACGGCGAAATTTCTTAGGGATGGGAAGCAAAGGCTTTTTTTCAGTACGGTTAGCAATAAAAGATTATGTTTCCTAGCCCTAGAAGTGTTGCAATTCAATTGTTATAGGAGTAAATTTCCGAAGGGTTTTACACATTAAATTTCCTTTTTTTCGGCCTTAAGATATGTTACACCTCATCCATTAGGGGTTGGATATTAAATGGAATATGGTGCTATGAAAAGGGGAGGAGGTGGCACAGAAAAAGTTGGGGGATGATTAAAAGAAGCATTTTCTCCCAGAAAAAATTAATCTTCTGCTTTGTCCAAGCCTCACAACTAGTCTGCGAGGCAGGCTCTTCTTTGGTTAAGCCCCATTTACACGAGCAAATTTTCTTTAGCAAATTCAGTTGTATGTCAAAAATATTTTGTCCGTGTGGATGAAAAATTCGTAACAAATTGCATTTGATCAATTGCAATTGCATTGATCAAATGCAATTGCATTTGATGCATTTTACATCAAAGAAAATTTGCCAAATGAGTAAATTTGGCCGTACGTGTGGATGGCTATCGCAGAAAATTTGTCCAATTTGTTAAACAAAATGGCGGCGGTTCAAGGAGTGAAGCGTTCAGTTTCACGGTCGGACAACATTATTTTCCTTTATGAATCGCTTAGTGTTCCAGAAAGTTATGGAACCCTAAAATATTATTGTGTAGTTCCAGAAAATATCCAGACCTCCTCCATATGGGGGTTCATTTTGTCTAGATTTCCAGTGCGGTGAGGGTATACAAAAGCCTTGATATTTCCAGAGGGTATTAAAAAAAATTTAGCATGGGTAGCCATCTCTCATTTAAATAGGGCGCCACAGTGCTGATTTATAAACTACAATGGCTTACAATTTGCAAGTGGCGTAAGTTTTATAATAAAAACATGTAGGAGACTATAAATAACGTTATTCGCTCCATATTTAGATATTTGATTGACATGTTTACGCATAAGTGAAACAATTCTTTCGGTCTGATACAAAACAATGTTTTAAATAGGGCATTAATATTTGCGATTCAGTGTAGTTTTGTTGTAAGTATATTCTGTAACTGTATCTGTACTCCGTGGGGCAAATAATAGGCCAAAGAAATTATTTAGCTTTTCATCATGGCTTAAACTTTTAAATTTAAGGCTATAAAAAATGCGACTGTGTAAATCAGCCATTAGTTGAATGGTTTTCCCTTCAAATCAACGCGAGCAGGAAAATAAAACTTTTAGCATGTGCTGTTACTTCTGTAGCTGTACAAAGTACATATTATGTATGCAGGCTATAAAAGCAGCCATGTAGTAGTTTTAAAAATATAGATTTCCAGAGGGGTGGATATAACAGGTGGGAAATTTGCCTGAGCATGCGCGAGCAAAATGAGCCACGCAATTTGCGTGGAATACACGCAACGCGTGTTTAGGAAAAGGCGCAATTGTGTAAATATTGCCAAATGTTTGGTACAAAATAAATGACTGTTTTTTGTTGAAAATGGACATGATCTAAATTAATCATACAGAATTTTTTAGTGACGTTTGTTTACATGAAAATAGAGACAAGTCATGAATTGTACAACCTAGTAAACTGTATGAGTCTCTATTTTTAGGCTTTTCCTAAGATATCAGATAAATATACATGAAACGAAGGGTACATTTTTAGAAAGTTTTATCGTGAGGCCACGGCCAGTTTTTAAAATATCTTCATTTCTGTTCCAGTCATCACCAAAATTACACTGAAGTCGGGCTTGAATATACAACAAATTTTGAATCTTATCAAGTAAAAAAGTATTTAACGTGTAACAAAAATATGCTCATGAAATCGAAATTAATAGCTAAATTTTTAAACTAAACCCTTCCCGAAGCAGTCTTCATGAAGAAAGTTCACATTTTGGCCTTTGATTCTTGGCAAAAATTTGTGCACACTTGTGCTTCGCACAAGCAACTGGGTCTCAAAGACTTAGTTAAAACATTGTGAGCCCCTATTTTCCTGATGATATGTTTGATACTTACAAACGCCGAAAAGTTTTTTCTTTTCATTTAGCTATATTTGAAATTGAGGCCACGGGCTATTAAAAGTAATACAGTTCAAAGACAAGCTATTTTTACTGACATATTTTCAAAATTTATCAAATTTCGCGAGCTTGTATTTTGAACTTAGACCGCTGAATCTCCGATTTATTGGGAACTGCAGTCCGAAATCCGTCCGAAAATGAGCAGGAAAATACATGTTGTATCAACAGGCAAATTGCTAGATGCGAGCTAGCCTGCTTCGAGATTTTGCTTCACCAATCACAGAACGTTATTTATGAAGGCAGCATTTCAGTTCTTGTTTAATTCAATGATTGCGTGCCTTTTTAGAGTTTTAACTTATAGCATGTTTCTTTAATATTATTAGGAGAGTCAGCCAGCAAGGTTAACTCCCGACATTTGGGCAGATGTCCCAGTCCAGCGAGTTGAGAGTCTCCCATATCACATAGACGGACTTAAGGTCTACAGCCTAGAATATGACAGTGGTAACAAAACAGCAGTTACTGAGGATGGGAGACAGTGGGGTAATTATACTACGTCAAGACGTGCAGGCTTCGTTGGAAAGAGATATTTGAAATCATGCAAAGGGTCATACCGCTGTGGCTACTTTCGCCAATACAATAAAGTAAATCGAGTTCAATTTGAGAAAAAGGAGTCCTGCTTAGTATATAGGACATGTGGAGCAACACCTGTTTTTGTTTCATGTTTTGCTAGAAAAATATGGGAGTATCCTGAAGGAAAATCAGAAGTAATTGTGTATCACTATAGAACTCATACGTGTTTCCTAGTCGCTTGATCTCCGACAACTGTAACAGATGCAGCCACAATGGCATTCAAACAATCTAGAACCCTAAAACCAGAAAGATTTGTTAATGACAAGTTGATTGAAGCCATCGAGAACGAAGAATCCCTCGAAGCAATTAATGATTTGGCAGATAGTTTGGTCGATCGACAGACGCTGAAAAAGATGAAGCAGTCAGCTAAAGAGAAACTCGACCCAGTGGGTCACAGTTATGATGCAGTGATGAAGTACAAGACAAAAGTACAGGATGTACTGAAAGATCCATTCCTAATTTACAAAGTGGACTGTGGAAAACAAATTGTGTTTAAGACCAGTCGGGAACAGTTACAACTTGCTATGGAGATGGACCGTGACGGCCAAAAACATCTGAATGTTGAATCGTGCCATGTGGACGGCAAACACAGTCGTGTCACAGGATTCATAACCATCTCTTTAGTTGTGTATAACCCGAATTTAAGGGAAATGACGAAAATTGCAACAATGGAATGTCCAACAGAAAGCAAGGAGAATATCGGAATGTTTTGGGATTGCCTGAATACAGCGTTACAACAATTCACTGGTGAATTGTACCTGTACGTTTTTGATGGGGGGGGGGCTTCACTTCAAGAACAATTGGGAACAGAAGAAATTAACCGGGCCGTTAGTTGTGAGCGCCACTGGGGATTCTCTGTTGACAGAAATGCAAAGAAACTGATTGGAGAAGACCTGAGAAAGAAATATCGTTTTCTTTCTGATTCAGTATTGAAAGCATCCACTAAGAACATGTATGACAAGGCAAAGGCTGCGCTGGAGAAGTTTATCGACAACAACCCATTTTTGAACAACTGGTGGAAATGCTGGGAAGCTCGTCGATCCCATGTTTTTCGCGCCTTTAAGCGTGGTTTCAATGTGGCAAAGAGTAATTTGGCAGAGGTCCACAACTCAAGATGGTATCATATTGGTGTAGAGAACCTCACTTTGATTCAAGCTTGTCGTAAAGATGTAGCTGAAAGTGTCAAGCTCAAGAGGCGAGTAGAAGGTTACGAAGTTGGTGCATACAAAGGAGGCCGTGGCCCATCCGTCGTGGACCTCCAAAGACGAAGACACGTAGACCAGAAGAAGTAAGCCGAAGCATTGTGCAAGGAACTTGATGACTACGTTGAGAAGGGAGAAGACCGGCAACTAAGAGAACCAGAGCGCTTTGTGGATGAGACCGCTGCACACAGACACGAATCTCTCGAAAAGCGACCATGCAAGAAGACAAGCGCTTGTGCTTCCACGAATAAGAAATGTGAAGTGGATAAACGCCTAGCTCCAAGACGAATTACGAGTACCAAGTTCCAAGTTCTCACGTTCCCTTCAGATTGCCAAATCACGCCAAAACTCGTATCGAGTTGGGGACATCAAATTCAACTCCCCACAGTCCCATGAAATTTCCATTATTCATAACACAGGAACTAGTTACAAAGTAACTTTAAATAAGATGCCTAGCTGCGATGGTTGTAAATATTGTAGTAGCCGAGAAATCTGCAGTCATATTTTATGGGTCCTTCTTTATGTTTATAAAGTACAAGAGAATAGCGAACTTTTCACCAGCGTTCTTTTCTAAATTCGGAGCTCGAAAGCATCACGAAAGGACGTGATGGGAATGCACCAACTTCAAAAACCCTGTCAGCAACAACGATCAATACTGCTACCGCAACCGCAGCAAATACACCTACTACAACAATGGCTGCGAAAGATTTCAGCAACCCAGACTTAACAAAACAGCAATGGTGTATTTCTCGAGTGGTTTCAAGAGGTCGAACGCCTACGTGTTCAGGTCGAAATTGTTCCAGGCAATTTGAAAGGGGTGATCTCTCCATTCAAGTTTCGGCACGTTGGATTCCTCCCCATTAAAAACCAAAGACGGAAAAAAATTTACCGTTGACCGCAACTACCACTTTTGCTTGCAGTGGTCCTGGTTGTAGAACAGTCCTGCTAACAGTAACCTTCAGGTGCCACCTAGTGCAATCAAACTAGATGAAACAATTGGGCCGAGTCTTTCCTCGCAGGACTACGATAAAATATTATCAGAGAATTTACCTGTACAGTGGTTAAAGGCATTTCTCTCGAAGCTTCTTTAAATGTAAAGGGGGTGGTCAAAAATAAATGGTCCTCCATAAAAATGATGTAGTCGTTATTTTGAAAGATGTTGCTAATAAATTGTTATGTTTTTATATACACGTGTACATTTAATATGTGGATTTGTGAGGCCAAACTGCTATTTTAAACATTGCACTGATTTCATTAAACTTTTAAAATGATTTACAGCTTATTTTTCGTAAAATTATGCAGATTATAACATCTGCTTTGCAAATGATAAAATAATTGGTGCATTTCTTGTCAAAAAAGAACATTTTCAATTCCATATAAAACCTTCCTTGATTCAATTTATCATTGAATTCATTGGATTTACAAATCCACATCACTATGCAAGTTTTATACAAACAACAATCTCTTAACATTAGTCAATATCTCAAAAATTACGATTATGTCATTTTTTATTGAGAGCAGTACGTATTCCGCCCCCGTTTGTGCAGACCATTCTGTACGTACTATTACCGTGACTTACTAAAACAGATGTTGGTCGTGGTCAAATGATTCAAATTCATTAGTTTTGTGTTTGTTTATATATACTTTACTGTATTCATATTGTTAATTTAGTAAATATGTAAAAATCATATCATAAATTCTGGTTGCTGATGCGTTCCCGTGGGCGCAATCATACATTGAACGCACTTCTGGAAAAATTTATATTGTTTTAATGGGCCAATTGCGGAATTGCTAAGCATCATGGTAGTTTAGTTACACAGCAGAATTTTTCAACATGGCGCTTATACTTTTCGAACGAGGGAAGGTGCTAAACACATGAGAATTGCAAGAAAACGTTTATCATTTTCGCTTTGATTAAAGTTTTGACTAAATCTGTACGACTTGTTTCATATTTCTACTTCGTCTTGGACTTCTACGAGCGAGTGCGGTTGAAATATTTAACATGGCGTACAAAGTCACTGAAGCGGGGAAGGAGTTCGATTCGTAGTAGTCAGGAACAAATTTTTGAATATTTCACAACATGAAGGTGAGTACTGCATTAAATTATTTTCGAAAGAAGGAACACGTTGTAAACTATTATTTGCCTAAAAATTTTAATGATCGGTTTAATTCTAGCGACTCGAGAGACAAAAATGTTTGCACACTTGACCGTCCCAAAACAACAGATGTTTGATCAAACGTTCGTTTCACAACCACAAAACATTGAGGTTGTTTGGCGCGAAAAATCAAAACAGTTACTGTTTGAAATACCGAGCTTTCACATTTCAAAGGTTTTCAAAGATTTATAAAGTACTTTTAAGTACTATTCACTGCTGTTCAAGTGTCTTATTGGAGTTTTTAACTACAACATATTTACGCGAGTCAAATTTAAAGCAACCTCGCTTGTTTCGAGTATATTTTGGAAAGTTTCAAGCCGTTTGGTTTGCTGTTTGTAAATATGGAGTAAGGAATACAGTGGACAAGAAACCTCAGTGGTATTTTAATACCCATGCATGCATTACTGAAGGAACATTTGATAACTGACTACTCAGTAAACTTGGACCATGCAAATGCTCACAAGCATAAAAATATGGCTATCAACTGTTCAAAGATAAAATGGTTACCAAGGTTGTAGTTAAGGCTAATGTTTTGAAAGGCACAGAAACATCTTTCCTGTTTAATTAATTAAAAGTGTTGTGCATGCCTCCATGAAAAAGGCACACTATGGAATATATGTTCACCTACTGTAGGTCTAAGACACTGGTTAAATATCTTTTGCAAGTTGTACTTGTACAGGTGGTTCCGTTGCTGTAAACATGTAGCTGCCCTGCTATTTCAAATTTTGGACTCAATATCCAACTTCAATTATTAAACTGAAGTCCCACATGATTTAACATGTACACAGTCTGACAGTCACTGAACTTACTAATGAGAAACTTGATACTGCAGTGCTTTTCGACAAAGTAAAAATAAGCAAGGCAACTTTCAAGACAGAAAAAACATTGCACAGCAAACTACAACAACCCAGCATCTGCTTTTGCTAAACATGTAAATGTTGAAGACTTAAGAAAACGTGAAGACCGGTTTGAAAACTGTTGGCACTTGTGATTATTTGCAGGGCCTTTAGTATCCAACAATTGTGAACCTTTCCAATATCAAGAATTTGTTGAGGAATTGCCTTCAAAAAAGGCATTCAATAATGCAAACCTACTTGCAAATCAAATGTACAATACAAAATTTGAACATCTATACTGGAACAACTTACTGTTCCTAGCAGCAGTGTGCAAACATTTGCCTTTGCAGCAGTGTGCAAACATTTGCCTTCTCCGGAGTATATAGACCAGATACTCGAAACACTCTTTTTTCACCCAAAGAACAAATGGTTGACATTGAATGCAATACAAGAGGTCAGTCACAGAGCAAACTTTGGTTTCATGGACAACGAGGCCGTCTACTGTAACTACCTCACATTTCAGTACGGCAATGAAATGAAGAGAAAATGTTTTCCTCACATCACTTCTTAGCAAAATCCTTTTGCCAGCAAGCAATGTAAAGAATGTCAAGTGGGGCAACCGTAATGAGCAGATTGCCATTGAAAAACATTTAGAGCAAAATAATTCAGGATGAACTGATAATGACTGCATGTGTAATGACTGCATGTGTTCAGTGTGGGTTATTTGTTAACACAGAAGCTCCATGGCTTGGTGAAACCAGACTGCTTGTTATATAATTATGCAGAGCCAACAACATTTGGGATAGGTGAGGTGAAGTGCCCATTTTCAAAAATGCAGACTGACTTCTAAATGATGTAGGCATTTCAATTTGTTGTTCAATCTGTACAATCAATAATTA